TCCCTCGCCTCGCCCCCTCCCTTGCCTCCTTCAAGAGCGAGACGGGGGACCCCAGCTCAATATTCTCCTCTTCAACCATGCTTTTGATCACCCTGCTTCCTCCCCTGCCCTCCACCCTCCCCAACCCCCAACTCAACAACACAACGAGGATCTTGAATTCGATCCTCTGGGGGATGGGGAGCCTGTGGAGTCGAGCGAGGGTGGGAGTGATGTGGTCGCGAAGCCTGGTGCGGGACAGTACACGAGTTGCAGAGTTCTGAATGACCTGCAGTGTGGAGGGAGGTGTCAGGAAGGCCGACGAGAAGAGAGTTTTCGTAGTCCAGCCTTGAGGTTTTAAAGGCGTGAACCAGTGTTTCAGCAGCGTGAGGGGTGAGGTAGTGCCGTAGTCTGGCGATGTTCCGGAGGTGATGGAAGGCGGTGCCGGTTGTGCCGCGGATATGAGGGAGAAAGGACAGCTCAGGGTTGAACAGAACCCCGAGGTTCCTGATGGCTTTGAGAGGTGGAGAGTGCAGCCTTGGATGCTGATGGTGTCAGCGCCTGAGGTGCGGAGGCACTGACGTGAGCCAATCAGGAGGGCCTCGGTTTTGCGCACATTGAGCTGAAGTTGTCTCTCGTCCAGGACTCGATGTCGGACAGGCAGCTGTCAGGACATCAGTGGTCGTGGAGTTGAGGGTAGAAGAGGAAAGGTAGAGTTGGGTGTCATCCGCATACATGTGGAAGTTAACCCCATGTCTGCGGATGATGTCACCAAGGGGGAGCATATAGAGGGTGAAGAGGAGGGGACCGAGGACAGAGCCCTGAGGGACACCGCATGAGACAGTATGGGGCTGGAGGAAAAGCCGTTTGCAGCGACAAAGTGAAGACGGTGGGAGAGGTACGACCTAAACCACTCAAGGACAGGGCCTTGAAGGTTGAGGTGGGAGGACAAGCGGTGGAGGAGGATAGAGTGGTCGACCATATCGAATGCGGCCTTTAGGTCGAGGAGGACGAGGAGGCAGAGGGAGCCCTGGTCGCAGATGGTCAAGATGTCATTGGTGACCTTGACCAGGGTGTTTTCCGTGCTATGGGCAGCACGGAAACCCGACTGGAGGGGTTCGAAAAATGAGTGGGTGGATAGGAAAGAGCGCAGCTGGGAGGCGATGACTCTTTCGAGAACCTTGGACAGGAAGGGGGGGTTGGAGATGGGCCGGTAGCTTGATAGCTGTGACGCATCAAGGGAGGGTTTTTTCAATGTGGGAGTGATGGTGGCAGTTTTGAGGGGAATGGGAACAGAGCCAGAGGAGAGGGACTGGTTAATAGTGTCTGTGAGAAGTGAGGCAAGGAGATGGAGCTGGGAGATAAGGAGTGGAGTGGGGATGGGGTCCAGGGAGCAGGTGGTGACAGGATGAGTTTGGTGACAGAGGGTGGGGAAACGGGTTCGAAGGTGTGTAGGGGAGGATGGGTAGGAGTCGGAGTGTGGGAGGGAAGGGGTGGGGGGTGGGTAGAAGTTGGAGGGGCAGTGACCGCGGAGCGAATTTCCTTGATTTTGGATTCAAGGAAATCCAGCATCTCCTCGCAGTGAAGGTTGGAGGAGATGACCTGCGCGGGGTGGCGGGGGGGACGGAGGAGTCAGGATGTGGTGGAGAACAGAAGCCTGGGGTTGCCTGGAGTAGAAGGACGGGTCAGAAACACTGACTGTCCAGCGCCTTGGAACGTCTTCCCGAGGTGAAAGGCGCAACACAAATGTAATTTTGCTGTTGTTGTAATCTGTGAAGTGCTTTGAGATGTCTCCGCTCAGCTGGCTCCAGCCTGCTTTACGGCCTCTGCCTCGTTCACCCCACTATTGGCGGGCGGGCCTTCTGCCACTCTGCCCCCACCCTCTGGAACTCCATCCCGCAGTCCCTCCGCCTCGCTTTCTCTCTTGCCACCTTCAAGACCCATCTCAAGACCCTCCTCTTCAACCGTGCTTTCGATCTCCCTGCTTCCCACCCCCTGCCGTACACCCTCCCCGACCCCAAGCTCGGCTCCAAAGCTTGTCTGTTCAGTGCCTTGGGACGTACTCCCGATGTGAAAGATGCTATACCAATGTAATTTTGTTATTGTCCAGAAGACATGAAAAGCGCTATATCAAATGCAAGGATTATTATTATTATCATAGGCTTCAATGTGGGAAGAGAAGCCATTGCAAGAAGAATAAATGGTGCATTTCCTCTGAGAATTTTAAAAACAAATGTTGTCGAAATGAATCTATGTATTTAAATGAGTTGCACAAGAGTAAATAGAGAAGATATCCTCTTCTCTCCTAATGAAACCCTTGGGATTTGCTGAATGTGTACACATAAGTAGGAGTATAAAAACTATCTACAGTATTACAAATGGAACCACATTACAAATCAATGCATTTATACAACAAATGTTTGTTTGACAATTGCAGTTGGGATTAGAGAATGAATCTCAAAATTTTATGCAGTGCCAAGTTAATGTAGAGCTGTATTTTGAGTATTTTGAGATGCAAGTGACAAAACTGCACATTGTCAGTGAAGCCTAAACTCATAAGGGACTGCACGTAACTCCATGATCCATCACAAGCCATCTGTTATTTACAGACTACACAAAAGATGTCAAGTGTACTCCATCACAAAGTGTCACACAGGTTAGAGATGGAAGAGAGGGTACACAGTGATCTCACCTAGTGTAGCCGAATAGTGAGTGGTATAGCTCCCATCAGCAACTCTGTACATAGATTTTTTTAATCCATCTACAATAGATTTTTAGACATGGCGACGATTTCATGTGACATTTCGATACGTTATGTCTGAGAGTGTGAGAGCTAAAGATTTGTGACAACGAAGCTGTTCCCAGTTGTGCATGCAGTAAAATGCATCATTCATCATACAGTATTTGGGAGAGATTATTTTATTTGCTGTTCGGGAAACTGAAAACTGTTGATGTTTAGATGAATGCCCAATAGAGATCACTCGTGCTATTACTCAAAGGTCAAGGAAAACGTGATTTTTAAAAAAAAATTGTAAAAGGAATCCAGGTTTCGGTGACATCCAGGAAAAGGTTATTAGTAAGTTAAACAAATGGCAGAAGTGAAAACATTCCACCAAGTCTTAGCCTGTAAAACCATTTTATCTTAAATTTGAAGATTGTGCAGAATTGTGCAACAAATTGCATTCTTTTCAACAAAGAAAAAACGAGTGCTTTTAAAGAGCTAAATAGGGGGAGGTGAGCAGGATGAAGAACGGATATTGTTGCATTGAGAACTTTTCACCTGCAGCTGATAACTTAGCTCGGGTTTGCAGGCTGTCTGGCAACTGAACCCATAAGTGGGCGAAAAATAAACCACATCCAGCTGATACATTCACTTTACATTTCTAGCCATAACCAGACACCTACAGTAGAAATAAATAATAAACAATTACATTAACAGCAGCTATGAGATTTGCACCAGATAGTAATATCTCTTATGCTGGGACTGGGACAGTCGTTTAAGCAATGGTTTGGATAAAGGTCTTTCTGATTCCATTTGATTTTTCAATGAGACCAGTGTCTATCACGGTCTCTAGCACCCTTCCTGGTAACCCATTCCAGCCATTAATTATCCTTTATGTAAAAAACACTTCTCCATGTTTAGCCCTCTTATTTTGTTACTTTGAAGTTTTCATAATGCTGTTCTGTATAAATTTTCCCCAAATCAAGTATTTTTATATAACTTTGTAACATCTCTTCGGTCTCTTTTCAAGGCTCAAGAGGTCTAACCTCTAGTCATGCCCCATAACATACTCATCAAACACTAGGGATCAGCTACATTAATCTTCTGTGCACTGCCTCTCAGTGCTGAGAAGCCTCCCTGATGCTGCGATGATCAGAATTGTTCACTAGGTGCAGCCTGTCCAGATCGACGTCTGGCTTGTGCTGGGAGTCCAATGTCAACTGATTCTGGATCTAGCCCAGTGACCTGCTTACTTTCATAAACAGATTGGTGAATATGAGCAATGAGGTTAAGTGGCGGGGGTGAACTGTGTTGTGTCAGCAGTCGAGAGAGCAAGATGCGGAGGGAAGGTGAGGTTGATAGCTATTTGGTGAGGGGACGTGAGCAACCACGAAGCGCGTGTATACTTACAACTACTTCCATTCCCTTCGCGGGGGGTGGTGTCTCAGAGCGCTTAACAGAGGTGGAAGTTGACCCAGTGCCATGGTCAAAGAGTAAAGACAGTGAGAGTTGGGGTTTAGCCGGCGCGACTGGTTTCTTTGGTGATCTGGAAAAGCGGGAGGGCAAGGTGTAGGGATTGAGGGGGAATTCCAAAGCAGGGCATTGGAATAGTCGTGGCGGGAGTTGACGAGTGTGGACGAGAACAACAACAACAACAAACTCGCACGTACGTAGCGCCCTTCGCGTGGGAAAGACGTCTTAAGAGCGTTTTCCGGGTGGGGTGGATGGCTGAGCGGGAGCGATGGGAGAGAGGAAGGTCGCTGTTTATTTGGTTTGGGTGCCGAGCCCTGACCGTCCAGGGCCTTGGGACCCCCCCTCCCGAGGTGAAAGGCGCTGGGCAAATGTAACTTGTCGTTGTTGTCGTCGTCGTCGTTTGACCTCGACGACCCGCAGCGGCCACCCCGGGCTGGGCTGAATGTCCACTTCTCTATCCATCCTTTATGTTCTGTGCTGAGGAAGAAGAAGAGGAGGAGGAGGAGGAGAGGGGACTAACAGGAACCCAGGCACCAGGACCGTTGCTGCCCCCAAAAGAGCCCCTCACCATGGCAACCGGCTCCCAGACTGGACCTGCGGGTACCGAGCATGCGCACCGCACACACACACACACACACAGGGACATCAAAGGGAAAGGAGAGTCCATCACGTGACCGACCGGGGTGGGGCCGACGCCACACGACGCGCATGCGTGCGATCGATCCTGCCAAACCCGCTCTTGCACGGAGCCGGCGGGCGAGCATGACGTATGCGCAAGGAGGCGGGGGTTACACGGCCTCGCCCCTGACGCGCGCGGGCGCGCATGCGTATTTTGCCGGCCGTGGCGTGGTGACGGTTGACGCTTCGCGAGCTCTCGCCTTAAGTTTGAACCGGGGTCCGAGCGTCTGCGCGCCGCTGTCGGTTACCCAGAGAGAGAGAGAGAAGGGAAGCGGTCGACGGGGGCGAAAAGGCGCGGTGGTGTGAGGTGAGCGTCCGTTTGACTGACTGACCGACCGACCGTCCTTATTAACACGTTTACCGAGCCGCTCAGTTCCCTCAAATGGCAAACCCGCAAGAGGGAGGGGAGATGATGATGATGAGGAAGGAGGAGGAGGAAGGTTGATGATGATGATGATGATATGGGAGGGGAAGAGAGAAAGAGAAATGAAGAGACTTCCTTTCCTCTCCCCCCCCCCCCCCCTCCCCTTCCCTCACATGCCTCCTCTCATTTTCTTTCTCAATGATGGATAATAATTTCAAAACGCTGAGGGAAGGCTGTGTTCGCTCGTTTGAGGCTTTTAACGCGGTGCGTTTTTAATGGGGGGCGGAAGGAGAGAGAAAAGAAGCTGTAAGGGTTGAGCCGGCGCGCCCGGATTCTTCGGGTATCTGGGCACAGCTGAAAGCGAAAAGGGGCCTATTTTATATGATTGTGGTGTGTGTGTATATTTATATATAATGTGTATATATATTATAATGTCTGTGCATATATATATATACATATATGCACACTGGAAAAGGAAATTGTTAATCGTAGTCTCATTGTCATTTTGTTTACCAAAGTAACGAATATTCTCTGTGTTGTGTGTGTGTATATATATATGTGTGTGTACACGCCGTATTTTTTAAAAAGAAACACACGCACACAGACCTCCCTCCCCCCCCCCAAAAAAAAAGCCAATTTTTTTTCATCCAGTCGTAATCCGCGTTGAATGCAGCTCCCCCCCCCCCCCCCCCCTTCTCTCTCTCTCTCTCTCTCTCTCTCCTCCGCCCTTTATATTTTTTTCTTGTGGGGGTTCGTATGCCTTTTCATTTGTGTTCCATCTTTTATGATGCCCTCCCTTTCCTCTCCCCCCACCCCACTCTTTCTCTACCCGCACCCCCCCCCACCCCCCCCCTCTCGTCTCCACATACGCGCATACTTCTCTTCCTATTTCCCTTTTTGTCAGTCTCTTTGGCTGCATGTTCTTTTTAAGATGGAGAATCCTGGTGTGTCGCGTGTGTGTGTGTTTTTTTTATATGCAATAATAATAATTATATGCGTCTTTATATCTTGAAGAAAACGGGGTTGTAGGATTGAATATGCCATGTTTTATTTCCCAATGTCTCGTTAATCGCTATCCGCCGCGTGAGTTTGAGTGGCGAGAGTCTTTTGAGCAGCGTTTCTTTTTTTTTCGCGCAATAAAACATTTTTTTCCCCTTATTTTTGCCACTTGCCAAAAAGCGGCCAGTGTAAATAGGGCGGAGGGAGGGTGGGCTGTCCCTTTGCTTAATAGTGCTCCCTCCGCCTGCGCTGCCGGCTCCAGCTCACTGACTCCCGGCCACCGTCAGTGGCTGTCTCGGCGCAACCGCAATGTGTTTCGGAGTCTGGGCAGAGGAAGTCATTACAAGTGTTGTAACGCCTTATGTGCCAGCAAGATCGGTCCTTGATCCACAGCTCTAGGAAAGAGGGCTCGAGTCTTATGACTGAAACGAACTGATGAAATCCCTGTCATGCTCGAACGAAGGGCCTGAGGTGCTATGTGTATTCGAGTGTGCTCTGCTTGAGCTTTGCCTGTTATGTCTGCCTGCCTTGTTGCTCGCTCAATTCAGTATCTCAGCCATATCCAACGAGCACTCAACCCCACTCCCATGGGTCATTCATTGCCTGTCGAGATGATTATCTGTTATCCTTAATTCTTTTCTGTCCTGCCCAACCCTTATTTGTTAATCCGGTGTCTGGAGTTCCTCAAAAAAAACAAATCTCTGGAAAGATCCAAATGCTGTTGTTGACATTATAAAATCAGCATTGGACTGCTAAAATACTGCATCATAAAACGTCTGGCGATTGGGTTTGTTCTTTAAAAAATAATGAAGTTGAAGGCTGCTCACTTGCAACAACGTTTTTATATTCGAAATGGGACTTGACAATGAGTACAGTATTTCAAGAATTACTATAGGTCAATATTAGAAGAATATCACTGAGAACAAGTGTAGACCTTGCTTGGTTTATGGCTGTTTGTATTTTCACCTACCTGATTAAATCTTAATTGAACTTGCATTCTTTTAGGGTAATATTAATGAATGAAAATTATGCTGTTACGAAAATGACTAATTAATAATAATAATAATAATAATAATCCTTGCATTTGATATAGCGCTTTTCACGTCAGGAGGACGTCCCAAAGCGCTTCACAGAACACACTGTAAAGTAAATTGACTGTATATTTGTGGGCGAACGCGGCAGCCAATTGCGCACAGCAATGTCCCACAAACAGTCGTAGATTGAAAATGACCAATTTATTATTGTTTTTGGTTTTGGAGGGATTATTATTAGGCTCTGTGTGGAGTAAGGAAACTTGCCCAAGGTTTCGCCCTCTGCCTGGAATTGAACTCAGGTCTCTCACTTGCAAAGCGAGTGCTCTAACCACTGAGCTACAGGACTCCACGATTGAAGGGTTTACAGAATCCCCTAATTTCTCCAGGTATTATTTGCATAGATAAGAGTGGAGTGATGTTTGTGTTCCCTATTAGACCCACCCTAACCCTACCCCTATGATTTTTCATTTATTAAGTTCAATGTGCATGGCTTAACATGTTAGAATAAAATTAGGTTTCTAAATTGTGAAATATGGAAAGATGCCGAAAAAGTTACAGAATCCATACTAATTAATGTAGTATTAACATATGTGCCACTTGGAATATTTAGTTTTTTTATGGATGTATTTTTATTTACAAGAAAGCTCTGTTCAATACTTGCCTATTGCTGAAGTCGTGAGCAAATTTTACATGCCAGATATGTACTGATTTCATGATTGTTTGCCTTTTGTTGTATGCAGTGGTCATTCGGTATATTGGTATACAAGTTGAGTACTCCATTGATGTAAATCTGCAAAACTGACTAATTTGAACCACTTGGAAAACATCTTCACTGATTTTGCTTAATCAAGCAAGTAATTACAAAAAGTATAAAAGTAATTGCCTATGGCAACTTCATTGTTTCATTTTCAAGCCCAGACAAGTATGTTTACCAAATGGTTTGTATTTTATTATGTAATAATAATCAACTTTTGTACTTTGTGTTAGAATCCCAAACTGGAAATGAAAGGGGGAGGATGGGAGGAGGGGAAATAAAAATGTCCATTCTGGTGAGCACTTATAAACATTGATCATCTGTATGAATTCCCCTCCCAAAAACTGTACTAGTTGGATAATGCATTGGGAAATGAATGGCGTCTTTGGATTGGCGTCTAGAAACAAAGGATTTTTAATTTATTAAATTGAATGTGCGTGGCCTCCATCAGACCTAAGATGTTAGGTTTTCCTGGAACTGCAGGGCATGAGTAGAAACACACTTATTGCGGCTATTTTGTTGGGAAATGGATGTTCTTTTAGATTAAAATTAGTTTTAAATAATCAAATGATGATAAAATCTAGAGATGAGATTGAAAGATTCTGAAATCAGACATGAAATAGAGGGGAATTGGAGCAGTGGAAACTTGTGTGGAATCGATAGGGGCAAAGACTAGTTGGGCAAAACGGTCTGTTTCCATGCTGTATCATTCTTTGTAATTGCCAATTAAATGAACCATTAAAAGACCTACGATGTTGCATCTTCCAAGTTAGTATTCTTTGCCACTTTTTGTAGAATTTATATTAGAACTTCATCTTGTGGATTCCGCAGTATACAAAAACAACAAATTTACATTTGTAGAGCACTCTTCAAGTCGGGAGGACGTCCCAAGGCACTGGACAGTCAGGGGTCAGGACTCGAGCATGGGGGAAGGGTGCAGTAGGGGTGAGGGGAGGCACAATCAAAGAGGAGGGTCTTGAGACCGACTTTGAAGGAGACAAGGGAGGAAGTGAGGCGAGGGACTGTGGGATGGAGTTCCAGAGTGTGGGGCCAGAGAGACTGATGGTAGAGCGGGTCGGGAGGAAGACATGGAGCAGGCTGGAGCCTGCTGAACGGAGGGAGTGGGCAGGTTGGTAATGAGTCAGCAGGTCAGAAAGGTAGGAGGGGGCAAGGCCATGGATGGCCTTGAAAGTGAGGACGAGGATCTTGAATTCGATCCTCTGAAGGATGGGGAGCCAGTGGAGTCATGCGAGGGTGGGAGTGATGGGGTCACGGAGCCTGGCGCACTAGAGTAAACGAGCTGCAGAATATAGGGCTGGTAACTGTAATAAGGCACGATAACCTAGTCTATTGACTTTCCTTGATATTGAATTTCACAATAAAATGCATTGGTGAATTTAACTTGAATTTAGATATAGCGGTGCCAATATTGGAAATTTATAGTCACTGGGAATAGCGGAGAATGGTTGTTGCAACTGTTTGGATTTTTTTAAAAAAAATTACTAACTTTTTAATTTTTTTACAAACTTTAGCATATTTCTATCAGTTTCCTGGTTTGTTGAGGTTCAAAGCCCTATGTCGTAGTATAATTCCTGTTGTCTTCTGGATGGCCTATTAACTTTCAACAGGCTTCATTCCCACAGGTTATTTCCAGCTGATGGCTTTCTGAACAGATTCATAATCCTTATCTGTTTCTGTTGATATTGTTTCTTCCTAGTATGTTACTGCAAACCTATTTTGTTCCTTCAACCCTTAACCTTTCTTCTCCCCCTCCCCCCATATTAAAAAAAATATTCATTAGACATAGTGTTTCTAGACTATTCTCTAGAAATGGATTTCAGTGATTTTGTTTCATGGATTGTTCTCCATTACAACTTTTCCACTTTTCTAGCCCTCTAGGCACTTGAAGCATTCCAAAATAATTGACGGCTGCTGGAGCATAGTATTTATAGGAGTTGGTATCTGCTATATGAGGGGTGTGCCTGATGTATTTTAGCAGCTGATCAGATCAGAACCAATTTCAAAATAAAAATGTAATATAAATTTGCTTCATTATTTGTGGATTATGGAGCATATTTCACTTGCTCAAAATCATTGAATTCACTCATGCTGGTTTTGTGCATGACCTAGTCTTTCCTATCTAATCTTCATTCACATCTTCTTTGTGTGAGAAGATTTTATGATGGTCAGGGTGAATGAGAAAGATGGGCATGAACAATTCAGAATTATTTTCATGTGCCCTGTTACCTATGCGATCAAGCCAGTTAGAATTANTTTTTTAAATATTCTTTGAATGAGTAAGGAGAATTTGTCTTCTGTACATTTTGCAGGGCACAACCCTAGCCTAGAGCAGGATGCCAACTCATCCATCTGCATCTGTTCAAATAGTTTGAATTCCATAGTCTAAAATCCTATTCAGTAAAATAAGGCTGTGATTTCAATACTGATTGGTGTCTGGACAGCTGTATGTAAACTTGAGGATTTGTGATCAACTGTTGCAAGTCTCCTTTTTTTAAAAAAAGCACTGCCATTCAAATACTGTATAGCCTTAGTTGAACACATAAATGTGCCGTTTTCACAATTTCAGAGGTGTTGTGAACTAAATAATTGCTATGAAGTTTTCAAATTTGCTCATAGTACTATACAGTTCTTAATTAGCCAGGAATATAACAAAGTTGATGTACTGTATTTAGCTTTACGTCCTTTGTTCTATAGGCAAGCCAAGTACAGGGAGAATGTCACCTAGAACAGGATGCAAATTGTGGTTAGACAAAGCTATTTAAAATGCCTTTTTAAGCATCAGGTTGTTTGTTCATTCAGCCCATGTGCTTGTAGGTCTCTACTGGTGAGAGTTGAGTAGAAATGTAATTTTCCTTTGTATCTGTGCACATTCATTCGTGACTGTTATTGTTGCTTAGATTTTTTTCCCCCTAATTGGCTGTAAGGATTTAGTAGGGCCAGTTATTCTATTGTTTGTCTTTGAGGACGTAGTTTTGATGGTACCGGAACTAGATTTGTCATTCTGAGTCTGTTCACATACAGAGGAGCCTCATTATAATGCTGCTATCATCTTATCCTGCACTGTAGTGCACATTCACTTCTGGTGCCCAGTCAACCCACTCTAAAAGCACTACACACAGTTTTAGTACTTGCTGGCCTGTTTCCCATGCAAAAAAAAAGTGGACTTCTGGATCATTGTGTTGCTGTGGCTTCTTGCATATCATACAGGAAGTAAAGCCAGATGTGGTTCATGTGCACTGTAAGACGTAGTGTAAGCGTTAACCTGATGACACAGAAGTGATGGCTGAACCTCCAGCTAAAATCACTCAAACTTGGGGAAGGGTACATCTATGCATTCATAATCGTGAGCAATTCTGATCATGAGTCAGGTCATTAATACTCAAGGTGATGACTCATTTTCACAATATCTTTGTGAGCTAATCAAGGATGGAGCATGCATTTCACAGGAAACTTCATCCACCCTCTGCTGAACTTTTAAGGGTTTCTGTAATTTTTTTATTAAAAAAGTTAATGTTAACATGTACTTTAGACTTCTGTAGATGTACTATATTAGCTTGCAATTAATTACATGCATTTTTGAAATGTGCTTTACCCACAAATTATAAAGTTAATTCACTTTAGTATATTCTGTGATAGTGCTTTGAGGCGTCTCGAAGATATGGTAAGGTGCTATATCAAATGCAAAGATTATTATACAGATGCTTTATCTGATGAAGAAAAATTTTAAAATACATTTTTAATGAATCTTAACCATTTAATCTTTTCGTACCATTTAGTTTTTTTTAGAAAATGGCAGTCAACGTTTATTCTACATCTGTGACCAGTGACAACTTAAGTCGACATGACATGCTGGCGTGGATTAATGATTCTCTTCAATTGAACTTCACAAAGATTGAACAATTGTGCTCAGGTAGGTACAGTAGGCATCTGTGTGTCATGTTTTAAGCACATAGTGGATCACAATCTGGTATGCAAAGCAGACGCTTTACTTTAAGTACAGAATATTTTCTTACGCCCTTCACGTGAGCACCATGGGTGTTGCCTATACATAGCTGAGGCATCTTGTGGATTGAGGCATCCACTTGTCTGTACCAGTCCAGGCTATTGGCTCTGAGGAATTCTGATCTTTATCATAAATTTGAAGGGAAAATCTTACTGAAGCCCAAACTAGGTATAATCATTGTAGGAACCAGGATCCCGACCATTCTTAACTACCATTGATGTAGCTGAAATCCTGTGTAGATCACCCTTTCCACCCAAAGCCACTTCTCAAGCTACCCCATTATTCCTCCATTGACCTCGTGCTACTCAGGGTTGTGAAGATTGATCATTTTTGTTGCTTTGCTGCGTGTTCTCTATCTTCTACATCCATGACACCTGCTGGGTGTGCTATTCAGGACAAGCATCTATATTTGCATTGTATAAATATATCTGAGGAAAGCGAAGAGATCATAGAACCAAAAACAACTTGTGAAGACCATGCAGATTTCCTGAAAATCACTGTTCCTGCGTTTCCCTTTTATTTCCTTCGAATCCTACTTGCAAATGAAGGTTAAAGAGGAATATAATGCTCATAGTAGGTAATGACTCATGGAACCCTGATGTATTAATTATGCCTCTTGTCATTAAAGGTGGAGCATATTGTCAGTTTATGGACATGCTTTTTCCCGGTTGTGTTGGATTGAAGAAAGTGAAATTTCAAGCCAAACTGGAACACGAATACATTCATAATTTTAAGCTTTTACAAGCAGCTTTTAAAAGAATGGGCGTTGACAAAGTAAGTGGAATATTATCAATTGGTACTACAGACGATGAGTTATTATTGTCTTGCAGTACTTTACAATATGCGATCAGGAATGAGATGCACACTCACGCGCATGCCGACGTAGGGGGGCGTGCGGAAACAGGGGCACGCACTCACAGACACACAGGCTCACAGAGAGAGACACACCCACTCAGACACAGAGAGAGAGAGAGAGAGAGATACACACTTACACAGACAGAGGAGGGACACACACACACTTGCGCAGACACACACTCGCGTAGGCAGGGACACACACACACCAACTCACAAAGACAGAGCGACACACACTCTCCCTCACAGACACAGAGTGAGACGCACACTCTCACAGACACAGAGAGAGAGACACACACTCTCACAGACACAGAGAGAGAGACACACGCTCTCACAGACACAGAGAGAGATGCTCTGAGGTGCCACCTGGCGTTATATAAATGCAATTTGTTGTATTATTGTGTCCTTTATTGCAACATTCAAGAATTTTTAAATAGTAAGAAATTTACCATGTAGGAATCGGGTTCTTGGCTCCAGAGAACCATTACACTGAATTCTTAGACCATTCGTATCATCTCAATATTGTTCACTTCAGATGCCAGATGCGAAGAGATCCTGGACTTCTTTATCTCTAAGATAGATAAGTAAAAATAAAAAAAAATTGGACATTTAATCCATGACTGTTTGTGGGAGACTGCTGTGTGCAATTAGCAGCCATGTTTCGCCCACAAAATATACAGTCAATTCACTTTACAGTATATTCTGTGAAGTGATATGAGATGTCTCGAAGATGTGATAAGGCGCTATATCTATCAAAATCAAGGATTATTATTTATAAAGATTTTTTTGATTGTGCTTATGGTCACCTCCCTCTCCCCCTGGCTTGGTGTTTGACTCCACCACTGTCAAGCGCTCCGGGAAGCTACCCCACATGAACGGTGCTATATAATTGCAAGTTGTTGTGGTTGTCCAAAGAAAACTAGCAGAAAAAGGATAAAGTGGAGACGGTTTTATTATTTTTTTTTTCCCCCAGATAATCCCTGTTGATAAATTAGTAAAAGGAAAATTTCAAGATAATTTTGAGTTTGTCCAGTGGTTCAAGAAATTCTTTGACGCAAACTACGATGGTAAAGACTATGATCCTATACTTGCACGGCAAGGTCAGGATGCAGGACCACCACCCAATCATGGTGACCAGGTTTTCAACAAATCTAAGAAAACACTTGGAGCAGCGAGCACGGTCTCAGGTATAACTATTTATATATGATTACTTGATTACTCGGTGTTGATAGATAAACTCATTTAGTATTTTGGCTTCAAAAAGAAAGCATAATGTACGTGGATAGTTCGGTGTTGAGCGCATATTCTTTACCATCCCATAAAGCGGCTTTCAGTTTAGTAAATTGCACTGGGACTTTTATGCTTATTTACTTGCTAATTGATCTGTGTTACATGTTATAGTATTGAATGATATGCTGTGTTGAAATAGCTGTATTCTAGCAGTGATCTTGAATATTCTTGCGTGTCCACATGAATAGAAACTTTTGCGTTTATTATACGTCTATGCCCATGGTGGTTGGAGTATATTAGATCCCTATTATAATGTGGTAGTTGGGCATCCATAACATTCTAATCCACATTGTCATGCCATTGATCACACGACTGGTAGTATCGGTGTGTATTACGCTTCAAATTGCATTGTTGTGATTTAAAACCATCTTTGTCCAACACAATTTGATGGAGTTCTGTATTAATAGATTAAGAAGGGTTTTTTGGGGGGTTGGGGCTGGAACACTGGCATAATTTAATTATGGTACTCAATCCATGAAAAATAATTTGGTCACTCAATCCACGACCGTTTGTGGGACACTGTTGTGTGCAATTAGCTGCTGCGTTTCGTCCACAAAATACAGTCACTCCACTTTACAGTATATTCTGTGAAACGCTTTGAGACATCTCAACGACGTGATAAAATTCTGTCAAACGCAAGGATTATTATTATAGCTGTTGTGGGACAATGCTGTGCGCAAATTGGTTGTCGTGTTTCATCCACAAAATAAGGTCAATCCAGTTTACAGTATGTCCTGTGAAGCGCTTTGAGAAGTCTTGACGATGTGATAACGTGTTGTATTAAATGTGAGGATGGTTATTATAATTTAAATTTGCCATAGAATTATGGTGTATCTTTGATCATATTGTGTAATATTCTGCTCCATAAATTACAGATGACAGTCTAAATACTAAATCCTCAGATGGGAAGCACAAAGCATCTATGTCCAATATAGCGAGATTCAAACTCGGTACAACCTTTCTTTCTAGAAAATAACTTTGCATTATGTCCTGTAACCACAAACTAAATGGTGGAAGTAAGCATGAAATTCACATCACTTATGTCTTTCTAAACTTTCAGTGGATTTCTTTACACCATATGTAAAGGTTTGTTCACAATGATTTTTTTCCCTGGGTACAGGGAGACAAAGGAAATGATGGATTGCTCTAGAATCTGCAGTATTTAAGTGTGCTTGGTGTCGAATGTAATTATACTATGGGATTGTGTATTGCCAGTGTGAACAAAGTGCTACTGATGTGCTCATGTGAATTTTAAACTATTATCTAAACTTTTACCACACTTCAGATTTAAATTTTCAAAGATAGTCAATCCAAATTTAAAATTTCTATCTTGGCAAGGATGATAAAATACATTTTAAAAATTGGTGTTTGTAGCCTGACTGATCAAATGCATTGCATAGTAGTACTTTGTTGCTGTCTGGGTCACTGATTGCACCCCTCCCCCAGGATAAGGTCTTGATTAATGTGCAATTTCTGCACTTTTACCTCTACCGTGTGTTCACATTATATTCACCCATCTGTCACTTTCCTTTTCATCAACATCAGCAAGTTTGGTTACCTGTATCTTTCCTGTTTCCCACACCAGTGACTGCAAAATTGTGGTTGGGGTATTCCTGGATTTCTCGAGCCAGTAAAGTTGCGCATTCTATTGTTCTATTTATTAAGAACTTACCATGATGTTTTATAAATTGTTGCAGTTGGTCCAAAAGTCACTGTAACCTCAAAGGTTGGAGCAGCCCCAAAACCTGTATCTGTGGCTCCTAAAAGGCCTGGAATGGTGGGAAACGGAGACGGACAAGTTGCAGAACTTGCACAGCAGGTTGGTAAAAATGTTATAAATGTCATTTATCTTTAATTATAATAAAGCCTAGTTATGGTTACAATTCTTAATAGGAATCTTAATCTGTATGGTATATTTAACACGTTTTATTTGATTACTGGGTGAAGCAAATTACTCAATTTATAGCAAGTTCTAGGGGAGTTGAGATATTTTGGACTAGGTGGGGAGAATGATATTGTGGGGAGATCATGCTAACTGATGAAAATTCTACTTGCATCTTTCAGTATCCCTTAATTTTATGTTTTGAATTTCAATTGAATGTATTTGAACAAATGCTGTTATCAAATATCATGGTATTAAAGTGTATCTTGTATCCTTATGCAGATCAACGTGCTGAAAGCAACTGTTGAAGATCTTGAGAAAGAAAGAGATTTTTACTTTGGAAAACTGAGAAATATTGAATTAATCTGCCAAGAAAATGAACCAGACAATGATCCAGTGCTGCAGCGAATTGTGGAAATTTTGTATGCTACAGACGTAAGAATCTTTTAAATCGAATTGCTTTCATGTAAACTTGGATTCATAAATTAGTTTGTTACCCACTGAAGACTATATTATGAATTTTCAGTGCATCTCTGTTTTATAATGCATGTCTTTATAGTGCAAATTCGATTATGTGGTTTCCACTCTCCGCTGGCTTTTGCGCTGATATTAAATGACCACAAATGTCGCTTTCTGCTTTCCTGCGCGTGTGCAAAGCCGGAAGTTGCTTTGGGTGAGACTTGACCAGGAAGTTGGCCATTTTGCTTTTAACAACAACAAAATTACATTTGTTATAGCGCCTTTCACGTCCCAATGCGCTGGACGATCAGTGTTTCGGACCCGAGCTGGGGGGAGGGATTGGGGAGGGGGCAGGATCGAGGGGTAGGGGGTAAATCTTAAAGTGGGATCTAGCACAGGGAGCAAGTCGTTCAGCTGAGTGCATGTTAGTGTGCCTCATTATTAGCAGAATTGGGATTTTCTGGTTCCCAAACAGTCTATTGCATTGAGACTCCACTATGTATCCACGTCTTGTTTCCCCTATGTTTATTTTGTCATTCCTGTCCAAGCATCTACTGCTGCTATTCATTTGGGATGATTTTTTTTTCCTCCAAGCACCCCATTTCTTCTTTCATTTTTGGAATAACCTCCAGTGTATAAATTTGTGGTTTTCTTTAAACACAAGTATTTTAAATTAAAACCTAAGTGAACACCTAGAAACAGGAAAATAATTTATTTCTCAATTGTCAAGTTGATACTGTTTAACAATGTATGCTCTCATTAGAAATTTACTTCCAACCACCTGATTTCATCCTTTTTTTTAAAATTACCCAAAGAATTGTGGTTAAAAATCAATATACTGGAAATTCAAACCACTGGCTTTGTGGTATATTGGTGCAGGTGTATTTCTTGTTTACTGCACCCATTGGGTTACCAAAGCCAATCCAATTTTTTTTCTCTTCTAGGATTAAGAAAGGCAAGTAGGACCAGACCAAGAAAACACATTATGAGGCAGTTTTTAAAAAAAAATTATAATCATTAACTACATGCACAGAAATGCTGCAAAGAAGCAAAGGTAATCTTAGTAAGGAATCTATGCAGGATTAGTTGAGAAAAGGGCAGAACAAAGATTGGGTGAGTGAGTCGGCAGAAAGTGAATATAGTACAACTTGCTTGCTTAATTTTTAAGGAAAGTCTGTTTGTGTGCGAGCATGTTTCAGTACAATACATTAGAAAACTATAGTGGTATGGGTCCGTTTGAAATTTAGACCTACAAATCTATCTTTAGCGAAATAATTTTTTAATTTGGGGTATTTTCTATTCAGGAAAATAGCAATAGATCACCTGGTCCCATTATTTTATTAAATGGTTGCCTTTTCTCAATATCCCTTATATTATCTCCCTCTTTTTAAAAGTCCCAATTAAAAATCAATATTTAATTCATCTACTCAGCCAACTGAGTTTGAGTTGTGCTTAAGTTCTGCTTCTTGGCGGCAGTGGAGCACACTTTTATCTGCAGACAATTTAAAGGCTATATAATCCTTCATAAACTCTGTTAGCAGCTATATACTTGTTCAAATCTATTAATTCTCAATGTCTTGAATTCTAGGAGGGATTTGCTGTACCAGATGTTGCCGACGAACAGCCAGAAGAGCAAGAGGAATATTAAACGTGTTGCTTGGGTGCAGCACACCTATGGTTGAAATATCCTCTTGGAATCGTATGCTTTGTGCACACGCATAAAGGAAAAGACACTCTTATTTTCTGTAAAGTCGGAAGAGCCTTGTTTGTAATTTTGTTAGTGTCAGCAAAATTAAAATGTACCTCTCTAAATAAGTGCACTTTGCAGAAGTTTCAGTCCATATTTTTAAAGAATATATCTGGCTGCTTTTGGCATCTCAGCAGCATTAGCCGTGGAAGTGGAAATTCTGCACAGTCCTGCAGAGTGCTATTATGATATCTTGATGCTTTTGCCACCACTAAAAGCAGACATGCTCTTGGACAGTGTTAAAACAGAGGTTGATGATGGAACGATCACTGCATGAAAATGACTGTAAATTGCACTGTAACAGAAAGTGTATAGAATGGTTCAGATCTTTATACATTATCAGTTGTATGTTGATAGTAATAGCGTGTCCTAAAATGTTGTGTGTATGTGGCGAGCCAATTTATTTGACGTGCAAGGAATCAGTTGAGAAATGCCCTGCATGAATTTTGTATGGAGAAATTGACATGAATCAACTGCAGGAAATTAATGTGGTGCCAAAAGTCCCGCTGCCTATTGTAGTTGTAACTGCAGCGGTGAAATATTTCCTGAATTCTTCTGTGGCCTTTTTTTTTGTTGCTGCCCTAAGACTTCAGGATGCTGTCAGAAAAATCCAATTTGGTCTTAAACTACAGGGTGTTTTTTTTTCTATTGAAATCAATTTCTACTACTAATAAAGTTTGATATTTCAACAAATTATTGAAAATCTCATTGTTTTTGTCTAAAGAAAAATCTTGCTATTGGTTTAAATCTAGGATCTTGTTTCTGGCTAATTATGAGCCCTGTAGCTTAGTGATTAGAGCACTGTCCTTGGACCTGGGTTCGATTCCTGGACAGGGTGAAACAACAAGCTTTCATTTATAGAGCGCCTTTCACGTCGGGAGGACGTCCCAAGGCGCTGGACAGTTGGGTTGGTACCCGAGCAGGGAGGTAATGGTCAGGGTCGGGAGGGAGCGAGGAGGGGGTCGAGAGGGGAGCTGAAGGCACGGTCAAAGAGAAAGGTCTTGAGACCGGCCTTGAAGGAGGAAAGGGAGGAGGCAAAGCGAAGGCACTGGGGGATGGAGTTCCAGAGCCTCGGGGCTGAGAGGCTGAAGGCCCGGCCACCAATGGTAGGGCGGTTGGGGCGGGGGATGTGGAGCAGACCGGAGCCAAAGGAACAGAGGGTACGGGCAGGTAGGTAGGGGGATAGTAGGTTGGAGAGGTAGGAGGGAGCAAGGCCGTGAATGGCCTTGTAGGTGAGAATGAGGATGTTGAATTCGATCCTCTGGGGGATGGGGAGCCAGTGGAGGTGAGCGAGGGTGGGAGTGATGTGGTCCCGAAGCCTGGTGCGGGACAGTACACGAGCTGCAGAGTTCTGAATGACCTGCAGCTTGTGGAGGGAGGTGCCGGGAAGGCCGGCGAGGAGAGAGTTCCCATAGTCCAGCCTTGAGGTGATAAAGGCATGGACCAGAGTTTCAGCAGCGTGAGGGGTGAGGTAGTGCCGTAGTCTGGCGATATTCCGGAGGTGATGGAAGGCAGTGCCAGTTGCGGTGCGGATATGAGGGAAAAAGGACAGCTCAGGGTCGAACAGAACACCGAGGTTCCTGACTGCTTTGAGAGGTGGAGAGTGCAGCCTTGGATGCTGATGCTGTCAGCGCCTGAGGTGCGGAGGCGCTGACACGAGCTAATCAGGAGGGCCTCAGTTTTACGTACGTTGAGCTGAAGAAAGTTGTCTCTTGTCCAGGACTCGATGTCGGACAGGCAGCTGTCAGGACATCGGTGGTCGTGGAGTTGAGGGTAGAGGAGGAAAGGTAGAGTTGGGTGTCATCCGCATACATGTGGAAGTTAACCCCATGTCTGCGGATGATGTCACCACAGGGGGAGCATATAGAGGGTGAAGAGGAGGGGACTGAGGACAGAGCCCTGAGGGACACCGCATGAGACAGTGCGGGGGGTGGAGGAAACGCCGTTGTGGAAACAAAGTGAAGATGGTGGGAGAGATAGGACCTAAACCACTCAAGGACAGGGCCTTGAAGGTTGAGGTGGGAGGACAAGCGGTGGAGTAGGATAGCGTGGTCGACCGTATCGAATGCTGCCGATAGGTCGAGGAGGACGAGGAGGCAGAGGGAGCCCTGGTCACAGATGGTCAGGATGTCATTGGTGACCTTGACCAGGGCAGTTTCTGTGCTATGGGCAGCACGGAAACCCGACTGAAGGGGTTCGAATAATGAATGGGTGGAGAGGAAAGAGCGCAGCTGGGAGGCCACAACTCGTTCAAGGACCTTGGACAGGAAAAGGAGGTTGGAGATGGGCCGGTAGCTTGATAACTCTCAGCAAAAGATTGGGGATTCTTTTTTGAGCAAGAGAGAACTTTTCAAGCAAACAGGTAAACAAGTCAATTTGGCATCAGTCACAGGCCAGGTGTAGGGATTAGTTAATTATTTGCTGACCAGTTGAAACTGGTTGTCAGAGGCCTATATAAAGGGGAGAATTGCGTGAGCATCACTTGAGCAGAGAGAAGCGGGAATAGAGTGAGACTTCTGTTAAGGAATTTGCTGAGGGAAATAAGAGGGGCAGAGAGATTGGATGAAAAAAGATTAGCAGGTAACATAAAAGGGAACCATAAAGTATTTTTATAAGTGTATAAAGAATAAAAGGTTTGTCAAAGGTAGGGTGTGGCCAAATTTTGTGCAGGCAAAGGACATAGCTGACGTACTGAATGTGTACTGTGCCTCTGTCTTCACACAGGAAGATGATGCAGCCAATGCCACAGTATCGGAGGAGAGGGTAGAGAAATTGGATAGGATAAGAATAAACAGAGGAGGTACTAAAAAGGTTGCCACTGCTCAAGTTTGGGAAGTCACCCGGTCCGGGCGGGATGCGTTCTAGATTTCTGAGGGGAGTAAAGGTGGAAATAACGGAGGCTCTGGCCACAATCCTTCAATCCTCCTTGGACACTGGGGTGGTGCCAGAGGACTGGAGTGTTGCAAATGTTACTCCCTGTACAAAAAGGAGCAGAAGAATAAACCTGGAAACTACAGGCCAGTCAGCCTAACATCAGTAGTGGGGAAACTTCTAGAGACTATAATCTGGGACAAAATTAGTTTTCACTTAAATATATGGGTTAATAAAGGACAGCCAACATGGATTTGTTAAAGGCAAATCATGTCTAACAAACCTGATCAGTTTTGTTTTGACGAAGAGACAGGATGGATGAAGATAGAGCAGTTGATGTAGATTGTATGGAATTTCAAAAGCCATTTGATAAAGTGCCACAAGAAACTTAAGCAAAATAGAAACCCACGGCATTAAAGGGACAGTGACAGCGTGGATACAAACTTAATGGGAGACAGAAAGCAGAGAGGTGTGATGATCAGTTGTTTTTCTGACTGGAGGAAAGTGTGCAGTGGTGTCCCCGGGGTCAGTATTGGGACCACTGCTGTTTGTGATCTATATAAATGACCTGGACTTGGGTATAGGGAGTACAATTTCCAAGTTTGCAGATGATACTAAGCTACAAAAAGTAGTAAACGGTGATGAGGATAGTAGCAGACTGCAAGAGGACATAGACAGACTAGTAAAATGGGCAGACACGGGGCAGATGAAGTCAAATTTGGAGAAATGCAAAGTAATGCATTTTGTGAGGAAGAATAAGGAATGGCAATATAAGCTGATGGTACAATCTTAAAAGGGGTGAAGGGACAGAGAGACCTGAGGGTTCATATAAGTAAATCTTTGAAAGTGGCAGGACAGGGAGATAAAGCTGTTAAAAAAAGCATACGGGATACTCGGCTTTATAAATAGGGCATAGAATACAAAAGTCAGGAAGTTATGATGAACCTTTATAAAACACTGGTTAGGCCTCAGCGAGAGACTGTGTTCAGTTCTGGGCACCACACTTTAGGAAGGATATCAAGGTATTGGAGAGGGTGTAAAGGAGATTTACCAGGATGGTACCAGGAATGAGGGACTTCAGTTATCAGGAGAGGCGAGAGAAGCCGGGATTATTCTCCTTGGAGCAGAGAAGGTTAAGAGGAGATTTGATAGAAGTTTTCAAAATTATGAGGGGATTTGTTAGTGTGAACAAGGAGAAACTATTTCCACTGGCGGGTGGGTCGGTAACCTGAGGACACCGATTTGAAATAGTTGTTAAAAGAAACAGAGACGAATTTTTTTCACACAGCAAGTTGTTCGGATCTGGAATTCATTGCCTGAAAGGGTGGTGGAAGCCGATTCAATAACAACTTTTAAGTGAGGATAATTATTTAGGGAGGACAAGTTTGCAGGGGTATGGGAAGCGAGCAGGCGAGTGGGATTGATTTGGATAGTTCTTTTAAAAGAACTGGTACAGCCACAGACTTCTATGCTTTATGATTCTAGGATTCTAACTCGGTCACTCAATCTACGACTGATTGTGGGACACTGCTGCACGCAATTGGCTGCTGTGTTTTGCCCACAAAATATAGTCAATTCACTTCACAGTATATTCTGTGAAGGGCTTTGAGACCTCTTGAAGACATGATAAGGCACTATATTAAATGCAAGGATTATCTAATTGGATGAGTAAAGCAAATATTAAATTTATTCTGACCTAGTGGAGTCCTGTAGCTCAGTGGTTAGAGCACTCGCCTCTCAAGCAAGAGACCTGGGTTCAATTGCCGGCAGGGCGAAATGTTGGGCAAGTTTCCTTACTCCACACGCCTCTGTTTACCTAGCAGTAAGTAGGAACCTGGTTGTTAGTCGATTGGTGGATCGCCTTTCCGAAAGTTATAACTCCTTCAAAAAAATAATAAATTGGTCACTTCAATCCACGACTGATTGTGGGACACTGCTGTGTGGAATTGGCTGCCGCGTTTCGCCTAAACAAAATATAGAGTTTATTCACTTTCCAGTTTTCTGTGAAGCGCTTTGAGACTTCTCGAAGACATGATAAGACGCTATATCAAATGCAAGGATTATTATATAGATTCCAGTTTACTTTCTAGGATGTGGGTTAAGACCACAGACTGCTTGATCGGTCTTATTAAATGCTACAGTTGAAAAATTAAATGTGAATTTCTCTGCCTTGGTTCTTTTCTAATCGAAAAACTTTTAGTAAGTATTTATTGAATGCCTATTTTTTAAGTAAATTGTAAATTGAAAACTTGGTAAAAATCCATCTGAGATTTTGCCATCTATTGTATATTTGTTTTTTTTTGAATGTTGTTCTCTGTTGTGTTGTGGGTTTAACATTTACTCCTAGTTGTATCATAATACCTTGTTTTATACAAATTTCAGCCCTCAGGAAAAGCAGATCCAGTATCAAGTTTACAGGTGAGGTTTGCTCATGCGGGTTAGAAATGCTGGGGATAACTTGGTAATAACTTGGTCTCTCCACCTCCTCTGAGTGATTGATCAGATTTAACCACTGACTAGACTGGCACCAATCGATATGGTTACTTGCCAGGTAAGTAAATGTGTTTTCTCACCTCATAACTTGACCAATGCAGAGGTTTGGGCCTTTGAAAAAAATATTGAGAGTCGATTTGTGCGGTCGATGCCTTACGTTTCAAAACTTTCCAAGACATTTAGAAAAATATACCACTGAGGAAAAATTGTAGCTTTGTTTTACTTATGTCCTCTGGAGGGAGGAAAAATGACAGAACTCCCGAAATGCATTCTATCTGTTTTATTTAAATAATGGTTCAATTTAATGTTATAAAAATAAGCTTGCTTGAAATTGCACAGATCAGGACAAATGACACTTTTTCAGGTTCATCTGGGAACATGATTTTCTCAAGTTGTTGTCATCCGTTTGGGATACCTGAAAACCATTTCATTGAAATTAATTATCAGCTTTTAAATAGACAAATAAGGGAGGTGGGTGGGGGAGGAAAGAGGAAACTTATTGCTAAAACAACCGTCTTAAAATCTCCAGAAGGATTTTAAACAAAATGTTTCAGGGCTGGGTGGATAAACCAATTCGATGCTTTGGTCTCTATTCCACCTCTACATTATATATATTATATATGTCTCTTTGAGACGTCTAGAAGACGTGAAAAGCGCTATATCAAATGCGAGGATTATTATTTTATTATTATTACATACTCCCCATTGGTGACATCATCTGCAGAAATAGCATCAACATCCACATGTATGCGGATGACACTCAACTCTATCTCTCTGCCTCCACCCTCGATTCCAGGACAACTGATGTCCTGACCATCTCTCTGTCAGACATCAAGTCCTGGAGGAGAGCCTACTTTCTACAGCTGAATGTCAGCAAGACCGAGGGCCAGCACCTTCGCACCTCAGGCACCTTCGCACCTCAGGCACCTTCGCACCTCAGGCACCTTCGCACCTCAGGCACCTTCGCACCTCAGGCACCTTCGCACCTCAGGCACCTTCGCACCTCAGGCACTGGCAGCATCAGCATCCACAGATGCACACTCCACCTCACCAAGCCAGTCGGGAATCTGGGCATCTTGTTCGATCCTCAGCTGTCCTTTCTCCCTCATATCTGTGTCATGACCCGCTCTGCCTTCCCCCACTTCCGCAATATTGCCCGACTCCACCATTGCTTCACCCCTCAGGCTCCTGAAACCCTCCAAAGTGCATTCGTCACCTCAAGGCTCGACTACGGAAACTCCCTCCTTGTCGGCCTCCCCAACTCTTCCTTCCACAAGCTGCAGATCATCCAGAACTCTGCAGCTCGTGTCAACTCCCGAACCAGGCTCCGTGACCCCATCACCCCCACCCTCGCCCGGCTCCACTGGCTCTCCATCCCTCAGAGGATAGAATTCAAAACACTCATCCTCACTTTCAAGGCTCTCCCTGGCCTTGTCCCCTCTTACATCTCTGACCTGCTGACCCCCTATCAACCTGTCCACTCCCTCCGCTCAGCCAGGCTCCGGCCTGCTCCATATCTCCCGCCCGACCCGCCGTACCCTAGGTGGTGATTCTATTATGAAATATTTCATCAAATATTATGAAATAGTTCATCCACAAAATAGCCTTTACACTTGACTTCACTGTACAAAACTACACTTTACAGTATATCCTGTGAAGCGCTTTGAGACGTCACAAAGACATGATAAGGCACTATATCAAATGCAAGGATTATTATTAGTATTATTATTATCTACAGGAAGAGTCTCCACTTGACCACTAAGGAATCGTGATGTACATTCACCAAACATTGGCAGATTTAAAACTGATTAGTACCACCCCAAATCCTTGGTGCTCTTCTTCAGTCTGCATTTGAAAATATATGCTCCCCCTCAACTCTGTGAGAAAGCCTACATGAACGGTTACTACAATTCACAGTAAAATTCTGTGAAGCACTTTGAGACATCTCGACGACTTGATAAGACACTATATCAAATAGAAGTAACCGAACAGTTTCTAGGGTGTTTGCATACTCAAACAAGATCTAAAGTCAAAATGGCCTCACAAAAGGGAAGTTGTGGATGAAATTCAGCTGAGTAATTTTGAGCCAATCTCACAAGTAGCAATACATTTTTAGCCAGTGATTAATATATATTCAGTATTGCAATCTAGCAGGTCTGGTTTCCCATATGGAGAAACATTTTACGATTCCTTCTCTTTCCCCCCTACTGCTTCTCAACAGCACAGGCAAAACTAAACCTGTGAGTACCAATAACACTGTAATGGTTTCATTCATATTGGAGATTTAACAGGGCCTTCTCTTGGTTGTGCAAGTCATTTAACAACCCCAACAACTTGCATTTATATTGTGCCCCTCACTCAGGTTAGCATCCCAGTGAGCTTGTTTTATTTTATATTTTTAAGTTCACTTTTGCATTTAGCAGGTATTACGCCTCATTAAACAATATTCAAGAATGAATGGGAACCTGTTTTTAAAACCAATATTTTTATACTCTATCGAGAAAACAACAACAAAATGACATTTATAGATCGCCTTTCACGTTGGGAGGACATCCCAAAGCGCCTCCCAAAACACAAAAATTAAGGAAATGTTAATATTTTTCGAAAGCTGATTTAAAATGTTCGCTGAGAAAATTACCTTCATGTTAAAACTGGTGTATTTTTGGTCTGTTTACAGCAACATAGTGATAAAGCACTATAAGAAGAAATAAGGTAACTCCAAGCATGTTTGAAAATATTGCAAGTTGGTAGTCTTCAATCATTCTGTGGAAGAAAATAACACCTTTGGATTACTATTTGGCAATCAAAGATTTGGGATGGATAAATAATATTAGTATAACAATATTTGTCCTCTAAACCAAAAGCCCACTATTATTCTGCCTTTATCGGGACAAGGAACAGCACCCATAGTTCTTGCCCAATGCAAGGATTATAATTATTCATCACACAATGAGTTCCCAAACTGTTGGATGAGATGCACAATGAGGGCTATGGGTTGAGCCACTCTGGCCCAGGATTATGCACCATGTGTAGGCTGTGTGTGTGTGTGTGTGTGTGCGTGGTGGGGAAGGAGTGGGGTGGGGGCGGCGGGGGTGGGCAATGGATAACTCCAGCACAGGTCATCATCCCCAGTGTTGGAAGGAATTGTAAATAGAGCAGGAAAGTGCATTTACTTTTGGGATTCAGAGAATATCTGGAGACACAGGTTGGATGGGGTGAAGTTCATGACTGGAAAGGTTTTTGTGTAGTCTCTGAAAGGCCGAATGATAGATTATCGTTCCCTGCTTTCGTATATTAGTATTTATTTTCAACAATTTGAATGGATAGCTGTAAAGCTATTTGTGAGGTCAGGGTATTAAAGGATACGGGGCAACTCCGAGTAATTGTACTTGACGTACAGATCACCCAAGATGTTATAGAATGGTGGAACAGGCTCAAGGGGCTGAATGGCCTATTCCTGTTTCTATGAATTGTTTAGCAAATTTCATTCTGGAAAAATATACCCGCTTTTAATCATTACTAGTCACACCGAGACAGATAACAATAATAATCCTTGCATTTGATATAGCGCTTTTCACGTCTTCAAGACATCCCAAAGCGCTTCACAGAATAGACTGTAAAGTGAATTGACCGTAGATTTGTGGGCGAAATGTGGCAGCCAACTGTCGTGGATCGAAATAACCAATTTATTATTGTTTTTTTCTGGAGGCATTATTATTAGGCGTGTGGAGTAAGGAAACCTGCCGGGAATCAAACCCAGGTCTCCCGCTTGCGAGGCGAGTGCTCAAACCACTGGAGATACAGGACTCCACTATTCAGGCTATTCAGGACTCCCTAAGAGCAGATAACTATAATGACCCTAGTGATGTCCTTTTCCCAGGTATTGGACAGGTGGCTTTCATTATAAAATCGCGTGTGTGGGTACTTTTAACATAAATATATATCAACAAATGAGATGGGAATAGTTGCGTGAACATGAATTATTCCCTTTGAAAACACAAAAGTCCATATAACATGTTCATTTATTTTCTTTTACTGTGGACCAGGCACACACAAAAAACAGCCCAGTAAGATATTTTCGTGACTTGCATATATTCCGACAATTCAGGGTAAAATGTGGCCCAAAAAGAAAGTTGACATGTTAGTAATGCCCTTGGAAGAAATACTTAATCATAACTATGTCTGATAGTCAATCTAACCTCCCCCCTCCTCACCAACAGCCTAATGCTGTACATCTATCCAAACTTCAGGAAATAACATGATGATATTTCGGTGTGAAATTGTTCTTGAAAACGAAATCTAAAGCGTTGCGACCTGTTGACACGTCAACTTCCTGGTTTTTTTTTGTCTCAACATAATATATAATATTGTCCCCCACAAAAAAATTAAAAGAGTCCAATGTTTGACCGTAGCAAGGACTTCAAAATGTTGCACGTCCAACAAAAAAAATCAAGGGGACACATTTCATACACACAATATCAATAAACATTATTATTATTATGGCTCCAGTAACCAACACCCACTGTGTGCAATGTTACCCACTTTGCTCTCAAGATATTAGAGAGACAGAGTGAGAATAAGGTGAAAGAAGGGAAAAAATAAAGCAACTTACCTCGTTTAGGATTTACAAGCTGTTACTGCTGATGCTTTTCTTTTAACGTGATGGGAATTTTTGGGTGTCTTTGTGGGTTTTTCTGGTGCGTTTACGCGTGTGTTTTTTTTTCAGCTGCAAATGTACGTCTCGAGTCAAACACGACGTTACTTCCTTTTGAGGATGGACTTGGCGTCACACACACAAAAAAGGGGGTGGGGGGGGGGGGGTAAAGGGAAAAAAGGGGGGAGGAAGGTACATCAACCAGTTACATCGCACACCCAGAACTTTGACAACACGACTATCGATACGTGTATCTTGTCTTCTTCCTGGTCTGGTTGGAACCTCAATAGGGAAGTGGTTGGGGGGGGTGTGTGTGGGGTGGCGGGGGGTGGGTAGGGTGTTGGGGGAGTGTTATTTATCTATTTTGAGTGTTTTTCTTATTAAAAGAGAGGGATAGTGAATTGTTTTTTTTGGGGGGTGGGGGTTGTGAAGGTACAGCCTGGTGTCTGACACATACAGAAACAAGTGGGGGTAAAGGGCTGAGCCGTGGTATGAAGTCAGTGAATTTGCAAGCGAAGCAAGGCGATTATCTTTATTTTATTTGTTAGAGGAAGTCCATTTGAATGCTTCCCTCGCTTTATTCCAATTGAATGCCCAGCCATCCTTTTGTAACTGTCGCGCTGCGTTTTGTTTTCCTTACTTTTGCAGATCTTAGTGATTCATATTTGTTGTGATTATTACAAATAATATATAATGTTTCACCCACAAAAATATACAGTCAATTCACTTTAAGACGTCTTAAAGACGTCTCGACAATGTGATAACAACAACAAGATTACATTTGTATAGCGCCTTTCACGTCGGGAGGACGTCCCAAAGTGCTAGACAGTGTACAGCATTTCAGACCCGAGGTGGGGAGAAGGGAGGGGAGGGGAAGGGGGGTGGCCGATGGCATGGTCGAAGAGGAGGGTTTTGAGGCGGGACTTGAAGGAGGCTAAGGAAGGATGAGGCGGAGTGACTGGGGGATGGAATTCCAGAGGTTGGGAGCAGAGTAGCTGAAGGCTCTCCCGCCAATGGTAGGGCGGGTGGGGGGAGGGGACATGGAGGGAACAGGTGGGTTGGTAGGTGGTTAGGAGGTCGCAAAGGTTGGGTGGGGCGAGACCATGAAGGGCTTTGTAGGTGAGGACCAGGATCTTGAACTGGATCCTCTGAAGGATAAGGAGCCAATGGAGTCGGGCGAGAGTGGGGGAAATGGGGTCATGGAGGTTGGTGCGGGAGAGGACACGGACTGCAGAGTTCTGGATTATCTGCAGCTGCGGAGGGAGGAGTTGGGAAGGCCAACAATCAGGGCGTTTGCATAGTCGAGCCTGGAGGTGATGAAGGCATGAACAAGAGTTTCAATGGCCTGAGGGGTGAGGTGGTGGCGGAGTCGGGCGATGTTACGGAGGTGAGGGAAGGCAGAGACACCGAGGTTCCTGACTGGTTTGGTGAGTTGTAGTAAGCAACCATGGAGGTTGATGCTGCCAGAGCCTGAGGTGCTGAGGCGCTGGCGTGAGCCAATCAGGAGGAGAATGTTCACATTCAACTGTAGGAAATTTGCCCTCATCCAGGACTTGATGTCTGACAGGCAGTCTGTCAGGACAGCAGTTGTCCCAGAGTTGAGGGTGGAGGCAGAAAGATAGAGTTGGGTGTCATCCGCATACATATGGAAGTTGACCCCATGTCTGCGGATGATGTCACCAAGGGGGAGCATGTGGATATTAAAGAAGAGAGGGCCAAGGACAGACCCGTGGGGACGCCAGACATGACAGTGCGGGAGTTGGAGGAGAAACCGTTAGAGGCAACAAAATGGAGACGGTGAGAGAGATAGGAATCGAACCAGGCAAGGGCAGGTCCGTGAAGATTGAGCAAAGCGGAGAGGCGGTGTATGGGAATGGAGTGGTCGACAGTGTTGAAGGCGGCAGAGAGGTCGAGGAGGACAAGGAGGCAGAAGGAGCCCTGGTCACAGATGTTCAGGATGTCATTAGTGACTTTGACCAGGACTGTTTCTGTGCTATGGGAAGCGCGGAAGCCGGATTGGAGGGGTTCAAAGAGGGAATGGCGAGAAAGTAAAGCGCAATATCAAATGCAAGGATTATTATTATTATATTTATTCCCTTATCCAATGGCACAGTGAAAATTGTTGCACTAACTGAACCAATAAACTTGGCACTAACCCTGTATCATGGCTTTTTGCTGTTTATTTATTAAGCCATTAGGCTAAATTCCTTTCGACTACAAACTTTCAAGGAATGAGAGCGATTAGCCTGATACTTATTTTGGGACCTTATTAATGTGGCATATAAATAGAATTATCTTGGGCCTTTCAATTTGTGCACTCCAATAATTTGGCGATAAAACAAAAGGCTGCACACAGCAATTATTGATTCAAAGGAATCTTTGTTAAACACAATGTTACTACTAATGACTCATAAAGAAAAGATGTAGCGTCCAAGTCCCAGGGCACAAACTTTATTTACTGGAACTGTGCACTGTTTGACGTGCAAGTAGGAAGTGTTTGCAAGTAGGTCTGACATTATAATACGATTATTGCATTAATTGTGGGATAAAAAGGGAGTGATCTGCTTTGCACTACTCGCGTGTAGGATTAGGGCCCTGGCCAACAATTCCCCTAATAAAATTGGTCATTCACTTCATTGGCTGTTAGTGGGACACTACTGTGTGCAAATTGTCCGTTGTGTTTGCCGGTAAAAGTACACAGTCAATACACTTTACAGTGAATCCCTTGTCACTTTGAGACGTCCTGCTGATGCGAAAGGCGTTACATCAAGGATTATTATTTCAGGCGTACGGTACCACTGGCAAATCGTTGGACCTCGCGCAGGTAATCGTTCATTATTTTTTCACGAGCACCGATGGTCAGCGGGCTTATTTGACCACAGAGTATGTCCTGGCCTCACCCAACATCCCCACACATCCAACTCCAGCAGATGGCGCTGGGTAATGACAAAGTCGCCAGTAACCGTTGCTAATTACAGTATTTTCCTTTCCCTGATACTGCGGACAAACTCCACGGCTTTCGTGGCACTCTGCCGAGCGCAATTGGCTGCCTCTTTTTGCCCACAAATATACAGTCGATTCACTTTACAGCCTATATAAAGTCAATTGACTTTATATATGGAGTCCTGTAGTTCAGCGGTTAAGAGAACTCGCCTCATAAGTGAGAGACCTGGGTTCGATCCCCAGCAGGGCGAAACCTTGGGCCAGTTTCATTACTCCACACGCCTAACATAACATAACATGTAACATTCAATCATTGCTGATCTTCTAATCTAACTCCAGCTAATAATCTGACCCTCTGCCTTATCCCCATATCCCTTAATCCCTTTTGCAATAAGAAATCTATCCATCTCAGTCTTGAATATGTTCAAGGACTGAGCATCAACAGCCCTTTGGGGTAGTGAGTTCCATACATTCACCACCATTTGAGTGAAGAAGTTCTTCCTCAACTCAGTGCGAAAGGGCTGCCCTCTGATTTTAAGGTTGTGACCTCTGGTTTTAGTTTCTCCAACCGGGGGACACAATCTCCCACTGTCTACTCTATCATGCCCTTTGATGATCTTAAAGGTTATAGGTTTCTATAAGATCCCCTCTAATTCTTCTATATTCTAGAGAATATAGGCCCAAATTGGTCAGCCTATCCTCGTAACTCATCTCCTTCGTCCCTCCTACTAACCTAATAAATCTATGCTGCACCCCTCCAAGGCAAGTACATCCTTCCTTAAATAAGGAGACCAAAACTGCCTGATAATAATAAATAAAATAACTAATTTGGTCACTTCAATCCCCGACTGTTTGTGGGACGCTGCTGTGCACAATTGGCTGCCGTATTTCACCCACAAAATATACAGTCGATTTACAGTATATTCTATGAAGCACTTTGGGATGTCTCGAAGGTATAAGATGCTATATCAAATGCAAGGATTATTATTATAATAATATCCTGTGAGCGCTTTGAGACGTCTCAACGATGGGATAAGGCAAATATGAAGTCCCAAACGTTGACTCTTAATGATAGCAAAGAGAGGAATATCTATTTCTCTTTGCTGAACTCTTGTAATAACATACTGAGTGTCATAAAGCCAGGCTTTAAGCTTCAGCTGCCAGCCTGGCTCAACAATATGTACAGTACAATAACTACAATCACAATCTGTAATTGTCTCTTTTTTGAAGTTTTTTTTCTTACAAAGAATGGAGAAACCGAGGTGACAGCCTGAGGCTGCAAACAGAAGCAACTTCACAAAGCGCTCTCGAGACATTCGTTTCATGTGCTGCATAATCCACAAGTCAATCCACTTTACGGTATATTCTGTGAAGCGCTTTGAGACATCTCAACGAGGTGAAAAGGCGCTATATCAAACCCAAGGATTAGTTGGATTATCCAGGCAGCATCTATGGAGAGAGAGGAAAGTGAGTCAACTCTTCGGGTTCACGACCTGCTGAGTGTTCCCGACGACTTCTGTTTTTGTTTCAGATTTCCAGCGCCTGCAGTATCTTGTGTTTTATTTGTATTATTATTATTATTATTACATCCAATGATGAACAACTGCTCGGTTGTTTTAAGGCAAAAATCCAGCAAAGCGCTTCGAGATGTTTCGACTGCAAAGATTATTGTCTGTTACAGAAGTTTTGCAGAAATCAAACAGCTGCAGGAGGCAGATGTGGGGGTTGCGGGGGTGGGGGTGGGGGGGGTGAGGGGGGGGGGGGGGGGTGAGGGTGGGGGGGGGGGGGGGTGAGGGCGGAGAGCCTGATCTGTGATCACTGGTGTAAGTTGCAGAGAGGGGAACATAGTGGAGCCAGTGGATTGGAAGCAGGAACCTGTGGAGGGGAGAGAGACAGACAGAGGCACAGAGACAGACAGAGGCACAGAGACAGACAGAGGCACAGAGACAGACAGAGGCACAGAGACAGACAGAGGCACAGAGACAGACAGAGACACAGAGGCACAGAGACAGACAGAGGCACAGAGACAGACAGAGGCACAGAGACAGACAGAGGCACAGAGGCACAGAGACAGACAGAGGCACAGAGACAGACAGAGACACAGAGACAGACAGAGGCACAGAGACAGACAGAGACACAGAGACAGACAGAGGCACAGAGACAGACAGAGACACAGAGGCACAGAGACACAGAGACAGACAGAGACACAGAGACAGACAGAGGCACAGAGACACAGAGACAGACAGAGAGACAGACAGAGGGACAGAGACAGACAGAGACACAGAGACAGACAGAGACACAGAGACAGACAGAGACACAGAGACAGACAGACACAGAGGCAGAGAGGCACAGAGAGACAGACAGAGGCACAGAGACAGACAGAGACACAGAGACAGACAGAGGCACAGAGACAGACAGAGGCACAGAGACAGACAGAGGCACAGAGACAGACAGAGGCACAGAGACAGACAGAGGCACAGAGACAGACAGAGGCACAGAGACAGACAGAGGCACAGAGACAGACAGAGGCACAGAGACAGACAGAGGCACAGAGACAGACAGAGGCACAGAGACAGACAGAGACACAGAGGCACAGAGACACAGAGGCACAGAGACAGACAGAGACACAGAGACAGACAGACACAGAGGCAGAGAGGCACAGAGAGACAGACAGAGGCACAGAGACAGACAGAGGCACAGAGACAGACGGACAGAGATAGAGAGTCAGAGAGACACAGAGAGCCGATTGGCTTCTCGATAACTTTCTCCAGTGTTCCCGCCCACAACATAACAACATAACACAACACAAACCCACAGCAATTAGACAGAAGGGGTCGGGAGGTGTGTCCTGTCACCGCGAACCGCTTCCTGAAAGCTGCTCAGACTGAGCAGAGGGAGAGGGGAGAGAGAGGGGAGAGGGGAGAGACAGAGAGGGGAGAGAGGGAGGAGAGGGAGAGGGAAGAGAGGGGAGAGGGAGAGAGAGAGGGGAGAGAGGGAGGAGAGGAGAGAGGGAGAGAGGGGGAGAGAGGGAGGGAGAGAAGAGGGGGAGAGGGAGAGAGGGAGGAGAGGAGAGAGGGGAGAGAGAGGGGGAGAGAGGAGAGGGGGGAGGAGAGAGGGGAGAGAGAGGGGAGGGGAGAGAGAGGAGAGAGGGGAGGAGAGGGAGAGGAGAGAGAGAGGAGAGAGAGGAGGATAGAGAGAGAGGAGAGAGAGAGGGATAGAGAGAGGGGAGAGAGGGAGAGGGGAGAGGGAGGAGAGAGGGGGAGAGGGGGAGAGAGAGGGGGAGAGAGAGAGAGGGAGAGGGGGGAGAGAGAGAGGGGAGAGAGGAGGAGGAGGAGAGAGAGAAGAGAGGGGAGAGAGAGAGGGGGAGAGAGTGGGGGAGAGAGAGGGAGAGCCGGGGTGGGGGGGATGATCCCGGAGGCGGCTCCTGGCGGGGCGGGAGGGCCCGGGGTGGGCCCGGGGTGGGGTGGGGGCGGGGCCGGCGGGGTGGGGGCGGAGGGCCCGGGGTGGGGCCCGGGGTGGGGGCGGTGGGGCCGCTCTGTCCCGGGGCCGCTCTCGCGGAGGCGCACGTGACCAGTTTCCAGCAATACCGAGACCTGTACATCCAGTCCGTGCAGAACCCGACAGGTACCCCTCACACACACCCACACACACACCCACACACCCCAACACACACACCCCCTCACACACACCCACACACACCCTCACACTCACACACACCCACACACACCCCCTCACACACCCCCTCACACCCCCCCTCACACACCCCCTCACACCCCCCTCACACC